TTTTTTTTTTTTTTTTTTTTTATGGAATACATTTCAAGAATTAACTGCTGTTGTGCAAAGCGTTTCCATATGAGGAGATGCCTCTGAGTTGTGATTGTTGCAGCGGAACAAATTGCATGTCAGTTTGAATATTTGGAATGCAGCGTAGAAAACAAAACAAGAAATGCTTCCATAAAGTATATGGAGATACAACTTAAACTTGGAGCCTGGAATTATGTTATAATACTGTCGAAATGATGTGAAAAGTAGATTGTGTAATCATTTCTTGGTGAGAAATTGTCTCAATGTATTGGCTGTTCAGCCAATATACTTTATTTTCACCTCCAGTGATGTCAATTTGTAGGTGTGAGGAAAGCTTGTCTTCCTAGCATTAAATAAGGGTTTAAAGTATGTTTACTTTCTTGAGCTGAGCTGAATAATGTAGTGGAATCTCCCTCCTCTTCTTTGGATGGGTTATCTTACACTTGGAGGTTTTGTAGTTAAATAAATTTGCAAGTTTTTGTAGTGAAAATAAGGACCTGGTTTGCTAGTGGCATATTCAAATTTGTACCATAGTTTAATTTTGTATTAAATTTGACATCAAGTAGGATTAAGTATTTCTCTTTAAACCTGGGTTGAAGTGATGCTGGCAACTGAGAGTAATTGACAAATTTTTGCTTTAGGCTACTGAATTTTGTTTTCAGCTAACTTGTTTTCAGCTGAAACCTCAAGCCTTTCTTCCCATTCCTGTCTGTTCAGACTCCATGGGTTTGCAGCAAACCCTCAACTCCTCCTGAGCAGCAGCCACTCCAGCCTTTGAGGCTTGGATAATGGGATTTTTGTAAGCATGGTGTAAATGCCTTGGCACAAAATTCCTGGTGGGTTCATCCCCTCATTTCCCCAGTCCTTGAATTTGCAGCTGAAGATGTTTCTGATCTTTGTGAATGTGAACATCACACTGAACAAGAATTCTCTTTTTAGCCCGTGCACTACGGGATGCTGCCAGCAGATAGAGCTCATGCTGGTCAGCACTGCAGCACCGAATCCCACTGCTCCAGACTTGGCACTTCAGGCTTCTGTGTCACAGCTCCTAGAGGAATATTAATTTTGAATTTAGTCTTTTAACAGATGGCAAAGTGCTCTTTTCCTCTTCTTCTGCCCCAGCATATTCACTGTCAGGAGACTTAAAGATAATGAATGAGTGTCGTGGTGGTACTGTACTTTTCCTGATTTATGACGTTTTCCTGCTCTTCAGGAGAAAAATGAGATCAGGACTTTCTCCTAAACTCTGAAATAGCTGTAAGACAGGATAATAAAATCTGATAGCCTGAAGTTGTTATATTTATCAAAGATGAACTTGAACTGTAACTATTTTCCAGTTTTAGAAATTCCTGGGTTTGTATCAGAGGCATCATAAAATGGTTCTAAATCTCACAAGAGGCTTAGAAATTTCCTGCTCATAATCACAGTAGC